ATATTAACCTCGAAAAAGGTTAGGCTGGAAAAAAACTTCTTGATTAGGCCAGGGCTCACCCTGGGCTGTCAAGCCATTGATGATGATAATTTTATATTTCAGCAGAATTTTTAAAATATATTAAAAATACTTGCAAATGAATATTACGTCGCAATATAAGTAAACTTATTAGGATTTAAAAAACTCGCAAAGCATTTAGTTAAAAAGTATAAAATATGATAAGCTTCTTTCCATAAACTTGAAAATAATCCTTACTTATATGCGAATTATTTTATTTAAGTAAACATGTAACTACATTCATAGTTACGTTAATTCAAGCTCAGTTTTTCATTATAAGTAATCTAAAGGGACTTTTCTCAGTGCTCTTTTTTCTCTGCTAACAAGTGATGTATCAACGTGAATTCCTTTTTTATGTTAAATTAATGTTTGAAAATGTGCCAAAATCATGTATAATGTAGTACATTAATTAATGTTTGTAATTTATTGCTTTTTTATAAATTATGTCTTACTAGGCACGTTAAATCTCCTTATATTTTCAGTTTCTCATGGAGCTGTGTTCCTATCTATCAAAAGCACCTATCATGTTTTAAAAGTGATGTGCCAAATGCTTTTCTGTCCAATGAAACTGAAAGATTTGTTCTTTTTGCTTCTTCATTGAATCCTACTCTAAGCATGGTTGTTATAAATGTCACAGCTCAAGGCAAAAATGTAATGTCTGCTTCTCAAATTCTTGAAATTCAACCAGTGCCTCATACACTGTTGTAAGTTTTCTATTTAGTGCTTCTTTTTTTTTTTCATCATTACAAGAGAAACGAATTTTCTATTATAGTTTTACAAGTTTTCTTAGTTTAAACTAGCTTCTGGTATTGAGATTGATTTATAGAAAGTAATTCATTTAAAATATTTCTAAAAATTAAATTAATATCAAAGACCTTTTTTTTAATGGGAAGTTGTAAAGAATTGATCATAAACTTGCACAACTCCTGTGCTTATAAATGGCCGCCTTTATAAAATTTGTGTTTATAACTACAAAATTACTTCCCAGTATCAGTCTCTCTATTTGATCTCACGCTAACCTTTACTGTTATGCTGAATTCTGGGATTGGGATTGATTTATAGAAAATAATTCATTTAAAATATTACTAAAAATTAATTTAATATTTAAGACCTATTTTTGGTGGGAAGGTGTAAAGCATTGACCTCCTGTGCTTATACTTCTGCACCGACTTTTTAAAATCTGTGTTTATAACTACAGAATAACTTCCCAGTATCAGCCACTAGATCCCACACTAACCTTTACTGTTACCTACACTAGCGTAAATAAAGCCCTTCATTGGTATTTTTTTTTAAATTTCTGCCAAAGCTATCTGCAGATTGTAATTCTATTGTAATTGTTGTAATTCTATTGATTGTAATTCTATTGAAATTGTAATTCTAGTTGTAATTGTTGAACAATATGTGTCCTTTTACTTACTTATGCTAATAGATTTCTAATTAGTTTTTACAATTTTTTATTTTAGGATAAATATTAACTGTGAAGTATGTCATAACCACCAAGTGAACAAGAATGATTTGATCAAATTAAAAGCTTCCTGCCAAAACTGTGATAATAATAACAACTTGAAATTCAAGTGGAAAATATGGTTGATTGATGAAGGAAAACATCACATGCATTTTAGTTAGTATTTTATAAGTTTTTATTGGTTTTGTCTCACATATTTAATGACATACATAAATAATTTAATAACATCCATAAATAATTTAGCTTTGATTTCATATGAAGTACAAATTCATAAGTTTGTTATACAAAAACTATATTTAACTTTTTATCTGTCCTTTATACAATTCCTGTTTTCTATTCATAAAACATTTTACGCTGTTACAATGCTTTAATTGTTATGAGTATACATAATGTTTTTATAACGTGCATTAAACAGTTGACACAATTTTGAGTTTACAACTATCAATGTTCAACTCCATAGTCTTGTAATTTAAAACTCAATTCAGAAGCCGAGAGAACTTCTTGATCAAGCATTGAGAGAAACTAGCCTTCCTGATTGTCTTTTACATGGATTGTATCTGTATTTGCGTTCCATCGCGAGGAAAACAACGATAAGCTCCCATGTTTAGCCCAGCGGCAAGGGGATTCTAACCCATCATCCATCTACGACTGAGGATATTTTATATCTGAACTGTAGCCGGTGCAAGCGTGGAGCGAAATTCGTATTGGCCAGCCAATGCTGGGAACATGGGTCTTCTCACTGAGTGGAAAGTGCTATATCCTATGAATGTAATATCTTACCCTCATGTATAAATATAATGTACACTGGGATAAAATGATCTTCAGTCTTTATGTTATTTTAAAAAATAGTAGTCAGCCTCCAGGGTTTTATTTTTAATTTAACCTGTTTTCTTATTACCTCGCAAATCTGACTAGTTTTTTAGAAAAAAGATTTATTATTTTATTATTGTTTAACTAATTTTTATTTATGTTTCAGGTAATTATAAGTGTGTTCAAGCAGATGGATCAACGTTTTTCATAGTTGCACCCAATAACACTCTGTATCAAACATCTCTCAATGAATCAATTGCTCAAGATACTTCATACATTGAAGCACAACACCACAATTCTGTTGAAAATGGTATGCCCTACAATAAAAAAAAATTCTATTTTTGGTTAACTAAAATATAACTTTACTATGAATTGAAACCAGTTAAACCTACCGTATTGGGGAATATTAGTAAACCAGTTGATTTTTTATTCAATTTTTTGTTGAAAATACAGCCCTAGAAATGGGGGGATTTGTAAAGTATGTGGAAATGTATTATGATATGCTAATTTAAAAATTTATGAAAAATATGAAGTATTAGTAATTTTTAAATCACCTACAATATTACGTCATATTATACTGTTAACTTTAATTTATTTTACAATGTAACATCTACAACCAAAAATGCTTAAAAGCTAGATTCAATGATTTCTAAAATACAAGGTGCTAAGTCATAATCAAAAACCCTTACCTTATATGCTTTAAATCACCATATAGCATAAATGCGTTTTGAAAATTTTGTCAATTGTACAGATAGAGAAAAGTTTTCCTCTGATAATATTAAAAAATTACATGAGTCTTTGAAAAAAAAATTCATATTGAGCTTTTAAAGACCACTTTTAGTTACACCCTGTTTTTTTCTGTTTTTATTTCTGTCACATTTTCAATATTCAAACAACGGTTAGAATTAGTTTATATTTACAGGCTAATATTTATTACAATTTTTACATTAATGTATAGTTAAATAATTAAAAAAATAAGAATTCCTTCAAAAGTAATTTGAATTAATTTTAAAATATTATGCTAATTGATTGTACTCTTTAATTTGGTTTATTGACTATGTAACTATTTATTTTAGATAGTAATTTATTGATGTGCATTTGAACCTGTTTTTTTTTGTTCTTAAAAAATATTCTTTTCATAAAGGTTTCTCAAACCAGTCTGTTAGCGAAGATTTACCTCCATTTCCGAATCTACCTGGTTTTCCAGAAGAAGCTGGATTGTTGCAAGGTAATAAATATTCAATGTCTTAAGTCTTATTTGAGTATTTATTTTATGAGTTTCTTCTTCTTTTTAAAATATTCAATATTAGAGCATAGTAAAAGATAAATTAATAAAAAAAACTGTTTGCAGTTTCTGAATGCATGATATTAATTAACTAAAATGATTACTGTCATAAATACATTTATTTATTTTGTTATTGTTGTTAAATTTATCTTGTTTAACTTATTATTTATTTCATAATTTAGAGATGCAGCATTTGAGAACTGTGAGGAATGTTCCAGACTATCTGGATCCAGTTGAAGATTTCTCTGATGCATCACCTTATTTGCAGTATCCGTATGAAGGTGAAGCTCAGTACGATGATAATACTACAATGTTTAGTAAGTGTAATTATTATCTTAATGTAAGTAAATGATTATCTTAATGTAAGTAAATGATTATTTTTCAATTGCTGGTGATTTTTAAAGTAATAATGTAATTTCAGATGCTTCTTATCCAGAGTTTTTACCATATTCTCCTCATGAGTTTGATTTTGATGATGAGGACTATCCAAGACCTGAAGAAGGATTTCCTGGTGAAAGCGGAAGCGCTGGAGCAAGAGATCATGGTATTTTTTTTTTTTTTTAAAAATGAGTTATTTTTAAAAGTATTTACTAAGTATATTAATTGGATTTACATTATAATTAACTTAAGTTTTTTAGAAAACTTTCTTAATGAATGTTTTATCCATTGACAGTATGTACATTAAAAATACTGCTTCAAATACATTCATAAACTAAAGAGTAGTAGTAAAATTGTGCTATTAACACTATCTATTATTTTTAAATATTTAAATTTAATTGCCAACAGATAATTTATTAATTATTGGTTTCGAATAAAAAAAATTATGATTATTGGTTTATAATAAAACTAAAATCAATTTTTCCAAAATTATCATTTGTCAGGTGTTGCATATTTTGGGCAAAATTGAATTTAATGATGACTTTTTTCGATTGTTAGCCAACTTTTTTTTTTTTTAATTTTTCCTATAAGTATATCATAATTATCTAATTCCTGTAAAAGGAGATTTTCTTTTCTAAATTTTTTTTTATGGCATGAGAAAAGAAATATTTTTTATCTGTGACTCAAATGGCTTTTTGCATATCCAGTCGTGAAATGAACCATTGTGCTGACACCCTTAAATCTGTTAAAGTAACAAATGGTAAAATAATTAGTAATATTTACTTAAATTTTATATTTAACCTTGACTTCATCGAGTAATGTATTAAATCAAAGAATTTACATAAACTCACTCTTTTACTGAATTTCTATTAATTCATAATTATTTTGAAATTATTATTTTAGGTTCTCATCGTTTCAATGAACATTTAACTGAAAATGATATAGAAGAAGGAGCTGTACCCCCAAGAGTTGATGGGCAAAATGGTATTATTTTATGAGTTTAATTGCTTACATGAAGACATTTAAATAGCTTTACATATTTCTGTTTAAGCTTGTGTTATTTTATTGTAATGCTTTATTCAATTGAGAGCTTTATTCATTGAAAATTATAAAAACTAGAGTAAATTTGGATTTTTTGAAAGATTAATTAAATACCCATGGGGTTTTTAATAATCATAAATCAAATGTTTTGCTAATTTATGTATCAGTTTTATTTCATTGCCATTATTAATTTTCTATACCTTTGGGAAAGTTCAGGTAGTATAAGACATACCACATGTGGCTCAGATTCGAATCTAAATTAACTTATGAATATTGCTTTTGTTTAATCAAACTTTTGTATAACTAGCGCGAAAAATTCAGTTCTAATTTCTTAGACTATGAAATTATTACTTATAAAAAATAATGTGATTTTGAAATCTTCACACTAAAGATATAAGTACAAAAACAAGATATGGGATTAAAGATATGAGAAACATTAAATATTTAAAAGTCTATTAATGTTTAAAAGTCTATTTTATAAACATAACTAGTGCTCTAATTGCTTTAAATATATAACAATACATTATTTGAATATGTTGTATTTTAAAGTATGCAAAAATCTTAAATATTGATTTCATTAAAAAAAGTAAATTCTATGTTTAGGTTTTTTTTTAATTCATTACTGAAATATTCTTTCTTTTTTTTAGTATTCGTCCATGAACCAAGTATAGTGGGCGACCCTGTGCGAGACACAAATACTTATCACAAAACTCCATCACCGCACCTTATTAGTAGACCCAGAACATTACTAACTTTCAGCAATGCAAATACAACAACTGGATTTGATTCAAATTATTTAATATTAAAACGTGGATTGTTGAAAGCTGGCAGCTCTTACTTGATCCAAGTCAGTGTTTCTAATACTGGTAAGCTGTGAAATTTCTAATCTCTTTGTAATGTGTGTAATAATTTCATAACACTCATCTCCACTATTTCGTAACTCTCATCTTCAGTGTTATTTCTATATTTTAGGTTAATAATTTTCTTAAATATTAATACCATTACTTACTTATAAATTTTTAAGGTTGCCAAGGTAGTCCTCAAACTAACAAAGGTTTATAAACCTATTATAAAGTTATTAAATAGTTAATATATGTACATACATTATCTCTTATAGTTCACTTTCTATCTAATGTAATTATTCTTTATATTTAATCTAGTCTATTTTATATCTTTACACATGAGTCAACTGTATCGGTTAGTCATAAAGTATTTTTAATTACAAATTATTGATTTATTTTGCTCAGCCACTTTTAAAATCCATATTTGATTTCAGCTAATACCATTACCTGAAATCTGAAAATTTATTCAAGGTGTTCTGTAATGATCACCCTTAAAATATTCTTTTTCATCTTTCTTTTCTTCAAGTAAGCTATTTTTTGCACATTTCAATTCCATCTTTTTTCTGTTATATGTTGATAATGATTAATCTTTAATTTTAATTTGCACCCCTTAATGTAATAAGTTTTTTTACTTTTTTTTTTTGCAAAACTTTTAAAAATTTATCGAAAGGAGTTGGACGTACATTTCTAAATATGTACCCTGTTCACAATCATTTCATTCATAAGTTTCATTTGTTATTAATTCATTACTGAACACTGAACATAATTCGTAAGTTTCATTTGATATTAATTATACTTGATGAGAATGTTTCTATTGTAAATTTCTTTTAAATGTAATAATTTTTGTCCATTCTTTTAGAAAACAATCTGGAAGGTTTTGCTATGGAATACATTAGAGTTAATGTTGGTCCTGTGAATGGACGTTGTACCTTGATGCCCGTTAAGGGGTACAGTTTGAATTTCAATTTCCAACTTCACTGTTTTGAATGGAAGAGTGCGCATCAACCTCTGTTTTACGAACTGAGATACTCTCTGTATCAAGATGATCCGGGACATTTGATATACTATGGTCTGAATAGAAATGCCAAGTTCATACTTCCTGCTGGCTTAGCTTCTGATTCCTATAATGGTAAATTTAATCATAAGTATGCTATTATATATAATATGCATTCAAACAGAATATGTGATAATATTCAGGGTGTTTTGTGATGACAGTACTTAATATATATTTTTAGTTAAATACAACTAATATTTAATGAGCTTTTACTAATTTTCACACCAGAAACATAATTTTTACTTTCTTTTACTAATATTTTTAATATTAAATTAAAAGTGTGTGCCATTAATAAACAATATTTTCTATTTTGTACACATATTTTCCTTCTCTTCTTAATATGTCTTATTTTACTATAAAAAGTTTGTTTTGGAGTGATCTTCATTGGCTTGACAGCCTAGAGGGGGCCCTAACCTTCTTTAAATTTTATTCTCTTTGTTGCCAGGTTTTGGGGTACATGAGATGCATCATTTTAGTCAAATACTTTTTATTGCATTTCTATAAGAAAAAAAATATATAAATATTTTTTTAAAAAATTATATTAAATTGTTAACAAACATTGTATATATCATTACTCCTCTCTTCTATTTCTTTGAGAACAATACAAGAACATAATTAATTTTCTTTAAACTGATGGCTTGATTTAAAATCTTTATTTATCACATGTTAATAAGCAATTTTTTTCTCATTTTATTTCAGTTTATGTTAATGTGGTTATAAAAGATAGTATAAATGCTACAACCAATGTTTGCTCATTAATTCGCAAAGTTGAACCTCTGTCCATTAATTCATCTTTAATTCAATATGTGTAAGTAAAGATTTTCTTTCCGCTACATATTAAGAATAATTGTAAGACTTGTATCCATTTTGAGATTAATTGTGTGTACTAATAAATACAATTATGTTTTAATTTTAACTTCTTGAATTTTTTTATATTGTTTAACTTTAATTTTTTAAGAATATTTTTTTTAATATTGCATATTTTAATCTTAAAATGAAAATTAATTACTTAATCATTTTGATTTTAAAAGAAAACTTAAAGATAAAGTAATTTTACACAAATATGCAATAAATTATATCTCTGAAAGTTTTTTAAAAATTTGGCCTAAAAAATGCTTTGATTAACCTGACATTTTAATTGAATACATATAAATATATAAAATTTTATTTATCATTTATCTATATATACCATAATTTTATAATAAATAAATGAATAATTAAAAATACAAAATAAGAAATTGCAAATAAAATTTATAAGTTATCATAATTGTAAATTAATTTGTTAAGTCTTATGCGATGGAGAAAACTTTTAAAAACTTCTTTCTCAAAAATAGCCATGTATTGTGGATGCCAAATAATTACTTTTTGGCCGTATGAATTTTAGTTAAAAGAATTATTAAATAGCAACTAGTAATATTTAATAACAGCTTCTTAATAAATGCTATCCTTTATATGCAAAGACTTAATAAGTTTTCGAATAAAAAAAATTTATTTCCAAATAGCTAAATAATAATGATGATAAGTATGCACCCACCGTGCTTAGAATCATTAAGTTACATTTTAAAATAAAAGATATGTCTCTAATGTAGGTACAATGAAACATTTCATCCTGGTTCTATCTTAACAAAATACTTGGAAGAGAAACAAAATCAAGCCGTTTTACACAGAGTCCATGCATATTCTTCATCTCTAAACCATCACAGATTCACAGGAGTCAGTTTGAAAAGTTCAGAAGATGGAACCTTGCTTCAGAAAATTAAGCTTAAGTTTTTGGAAATAATTGATAACATGGAAATAATCAGCAAGGTAATCTTTATAAATTCATATCTATATTTTTAACAACACATGCTTAAAAAGCCAATGAAAGCTTGCCTCATTATATCATTACTTTGTTAACAAACTTGCCATATTATCATTTGACATTGAATTTTCGTGATTTAGTTAAATCATGTTTCCATCTTGAATCGTTGTATAAGCAAGTTAAGAAAAATTGATTAGCCATGTTAAGAATCCTTGCCAAGACAGAATATACAAAACACGTTGAGGATCAAAAATTATTATTTAGGTGTAGAAGTAATGAAATGAAAAGTTTATACAAATCTGTCAGAGCCGGAGTGGCTCCAGGGGATAGACCCTTTGCCTTTCCCTGAATCCCAGGTCACCTCACTGCAAATCCCAGCAGTGGCAAGGCATAATTCTGCTTCCGGCTAGCACCGACTTCAGTGCTAGCCTAAAATATCCTTAGTGGTAGAGAGATCAAGGTTAGAATCCCCTTGTCATTGGGCTAACCGTGGAAGGTTTTCATGGGTTTTTTCTCCATGTAACACAAATGCAGGTTAGTTCCATCAAAAGTCCTCCTTGAAAGCTAGTTTGTCCCAAAGTTTGATCAAGCAGTATCTTTGTCTTCTGGGTTGAGTTCAAAATTACAAGGTCTTATAGTTGAATATTTATAGTCGTAAATTCAGTTCATCACCAATCATAACATAAAATTAATCTGTCAAAGGAAGGATAACGAGATGAAAGAACATCAAAATTCAATATTTTTGTTTGGGAGAAACTTAGATGTTTATAATAATTGCCTTTCAATTCCTCTGTTTCCTCAGGCAATAAAACAAGCTTAGATGTTTTTAATCCCTTCTTCATTGGTAGTGATTCATTAGATTTCAATAGCATTTTTGTATTTTTCTTGTTTGAAAACATAATAATTACACTCTGATTTTATTGTTTATGAGCATTTTTTATTATTTATGTCTCCTATGAAATGATGTGAAAATAAATGATAAAAAAATTCTAGGTAATATGTTTATCATAGGAAATTCATTTTAATTATACATAAAATTCTACATTAACTTTCGTTTTGCTATAAATTAATTGTTTGTTTTGAATATTTAAGGTTGAAGCAGTCCAAGCCTTATCTTGTCTAAGTGAAATTATACAGAACACAAATGAGGTAAAAGTTCATTGTTGTTCTTCTTATATGATTCTTTTCTTAAAATGAGTTTAATGTCTTTTAACTGTTTTAGAATTCATTAAATATTTAAATATTTTAATTAAATCTGCAACATTCGAAAGTCACAAGCAATTGTTATAAACAAAACTAAACACTTTATTATTTGCAGTAAATTAATTTTATGCTAATTTACTTTTGCTATCATGTTTTTTTTTTCTTTTCTTTTCAATTTAATAGTTCAGTAAAGATAACTAAATTTGTTAAAAATATTTTTTTACTTTTGAATAAAACATGTATATAGTATTAGCAAAAATTATTAATTTTTAAAACTCAAAAGTATACAGGAAAGATAAAATCTAATTTTTCATTAAATCTAACTAATATCAACATTTGTATTTCAACTAATGATTCAAACTAATATCAACATTTAATAAGATTTCAGCATTTCTCTAATGCGTGTATTTGATTCTTAAAAATCTGTTAAAAGTTTTCATCAATCAAAGAAATTTGCTATACTTTTTTGGTACCCAATGATTAACACTATTCAAAATGGGAGTTAAAATTAAATTTGTGTTTGGGTTTTACAAATAAACATAGAAAAAAAAACAATATACATATCTCAGAAATCACTATTGAGGGAGGCAGTATTAAGAACATTGAAAGCAAATGGATTGTGAGAAAAAAGTTATTTTTGAACAGGTCGCAATGAACATCTAGCAATGAAACAGGTGTTGATATTTTTAATCTTTTTTTCTTTAATTGAGATTTTTAAAGAGTTTAATAGAATTTCTGAGGTTGTATATAGTTCTAAAAAGCACTTCGAAAATTTGTATTAAGGGCGATGGATATGAAACATCTTGTTTAGTATATGCATTAATTATAACGCTGACTTAATAAAATGTTTGAACTTATCATTAGTTGAAATTATGAGTTATTGAATTTTATTTTTATTAATTTATTAGTTTCAAGTACAAAGATCTTGTTTTTTCAGCTTTCAATGTTTGAAATTCAAAGAGCCTTCAATATTTACAAGAAAATCTACCTGTTAAAGCACATGCTTCTTGGCGACTATTCATTGGAAGTACTTGAAAGAAACATTTTCATCTTTCTGTCAAAGTTAGCATTTGCATCTCATTCAACTCCATACCGAAATGAGGAACTCATTTATATATCTAGAGAATTTTTTATTAAGGAAATACAAGTGAGGACAATATTTATAACATGCAATTAGTACATTATTCTATTTTCTTGGTAATTTCCAATTTAAAAGGAGATCATTCTTTGTATTTTAGTTTGAATCATATGCAATTGTATAAAAATAATTTGTATTCGTAAAATGTATTGAGCATTGAACACAAACTTTAATTATTCTTCTAATATTAAATCTGAACAATAAAATAAATGACATGGAAAAACATTAATAAATGCTGATGTCTCAATATTTTTCAAAGTACCTAAATCTTTGACCTAAATATATTATTTTAATGAAAAAAACTTTAAATAATTTATTTGTTCCTTTTTTATTTAAAATCCTGTATTTTTTTTTTCAGGAAAAGTTGAAAACTCGTCATTTAACTGAAGAACCTATTCATTTTGAAGTTCCTCACACTTTAACAAGTTTGTTGCATATAACAAGCACCAAAATGCATAAACCTTTGCACTTGAAATTGAAAAGTACTTCTATTGAAATTGCTGAAGATTTTTCTGAACAGTTCGAAAGGTAATATTAATTTTTATGACAGTTAAAATACGAAGTTGCTCTATTTGAGATCTCTGTAAAACAAAAAATATTGGACAAAAACTTGAAAATATTATAAAGGGTGATGAAAAATGACTTGGACATATATACGTTATAATTTTAAGGTTTAATAAACTATCAAAGACCTTTGCCGCCAAACACAATATGGTGGTATCTAGCACCCTCTTCCCACACAAGAGAATACATAAAATGCCATTCAGC